CCTGGGGTCCTCCTCGGGGCTCTCCTGGGAGACTCCTGGGGGCCTGCTGGGGGCCTCCGGGGGGCCCTCTGGGGGCCTGCCGGCTGTCTCGTGGCTCACTGGTGGCGTCTGCGGTCAGGGACCTTTTGGCTCAGCGTGTCGCGCCGCCGGTTGTCTGGCCCGCCACGCTTCGGCGCGACACGCTAACGACGTTACAGTCCCCAGGCGTCAACGCCCCGAGCCTTTCCCAGCCTCCCCCTCCCCGGAGCAGAGCGACACGCTATCAGCTTTCAGGGCATGGCTTGTCGCAGAGGCCGCCGCCGCGACCGCACCGATCCCCTACTGCGAGTGTGGGGCAGGCTAGTTTCTGTTAGTGAGGAAACTGGCCGCGTCGGCCACGGCCGAACTTTCTGGCTTGGCGACTTTTGTCTCGCTTGAGTTCTGTCTCTGCTGTTTCGCTTGAGTTCTGTCTCTGCTTGGTTTGTGTGGGAATCGGGAAATCGGTGGTGGCGTCTGGGTGGCAGCAGCAAAACTCGGCCAGGGAAAACTCGGTCAGATGGAATTCGGCCAGCTGAAGTCGGCCAGGCTGAGCTCGGCTAGGCTGACCTCGGCCAGGCCGAGTTTGGCCTGGCCGAGTCTTTCCCCTGCCTGGGTGCCCCCCCCCTGCGCGCGCAGGTCCTGCGACCACCTCGTGCTGTCCACGGTCAGCAACTGGGGCGGCTCGGCCTTCGAGGCCGCCGCCCACGCGCTGCTGGGCCCAGGCCGCGAGGCGGACTACCTGGGCGAGATGCGGGGGCAGGGCTCCTCCCTCCAGAAGGCCAGGACAGAACTCGTGCAGACGTGGGGGTGGTTCGGGGATCGACGCTGTCGTGCTAGTGGGGGCTCGTTTGAGAATCGGTCCTCGTTCTCCTCGTCCTTCTTCCTCCCTCCTCCTCCTCCTCTTCCGTAGCCGTTTTGGCTCGAGGTCAAGATGGTGTCCATATCACTGCTTCCACGGGTAGGCTCCCTCTGGCCTCGGCTTTCCGCGCGCTGCCACACCAAGGGGCTTGCAGCGGCCCACCAGCTTTCCTGCTTCTCGCACTGGCCTTGCAGGCGGCCCTCCATATCATCCATATTCTCTCGCCACGCGGTGGTTCCGTACTCCCGCTGGCGGCTGGCGTCCCGCTCCGTGTACTATGCCCAGTTCCTCAGACGAGGACCGCAGCACGAGCCGCAGCCAGCAAAGACGCCGCAGAGGGGGTGCCGAACGTCGTCGCGCCACTGCAGCCGCTGACACGCTCTCGCTCATGGCATCTGGTGCAGGGAGACAAAGGACTGCCAGATCGTGACGCGCATCGGCAAGACCCGACTCCTTTGGCCTTAGTGGCGGACAGCAACCATATTCTACCCAGCAGTCAGGTCCATGGCGGCTACGCGGACCATTCCAACTCGATCAGGAGCAGCAGCGCGAACTCGAGAGGGACGTGGAAACATTCCCCACCTTTGCATCGCAAGCAGAAGGCGCCGAACTACAAGCTGGCCAGGTTCCTGCCATTCCAGTTGGTGGCCTACCCACTCCAGTCGCTGATGGCCCTCCCGTTCGACTACCTGGGCTTCCTGTGGACCTCGGCCGTGCTCTTCAAGACCTCATGCAGTAACAAATGTCCCAGGCCGTGGACACCTTCAAGGAGCAGGCCGACACCCTCCTGGACCAGTCCCGCGAAAACTTTCGCCAACACCTTCAAGAAGTGCTTCAGACTGAGCGCAGGGTGGTTTCCCTCCAAGACCAGGTGGCGCACACCAAGCGCGAGCAAGATCGTCAGGCCGCCGACCAGAAGAATATGTGGCTGGATATCGGAAAGCTGCGCGACACTCCCGCGCTCGCCGAGGCCCGGCTCCCCATCGCGGACCGCTCCAGGCTCTCCGACTGGAGCCACTCGCCCGACCCATCCTTCTTCTCCATCGGAGCTCAGCGGATCATGTCGCCCAGCGTTGTCTTCGACGACTTGCGCGTCTGGTTCGCAGACGCTGGCCTCCAGCCCGACCAGGTGAAGCTCCACGGCGACGCGCCAGCCAGGCGTTTCATCCTCCAGGTCAGGGGCGCAAGGGAGGTGGCCATCCCGCGTGCTCTCGCCCATCAGCGTGCTCTACGAGATGCTGGCAGGTGGAAGCGCTTCTACTCCACCGACGCCAACGGGCAGCGGCTCGACGTCTTCATCAATCCCGACAAGTCGCCCAAGCAGATCCGCGCAGAAATCCAGTGCAAGAAGCTGCAGCAGCTCCTCGCCCAGCGACTTCCACACCAGCGTTGGCGTGCGCTCCGAAACGAAGGGCGAGATCCCCCGCGGCGCCGCGCCTCAACCTCAAGGGCCAGGCCGGCCCCGCCATCCTCGAATGGAACGGGCGCGCGCTGGAGAACCCACACCTCAACGGCCTCAACCGCGGAGACGTCCTCACCGCCTTCAGTCCCTCTTCGCAGACACCGAGGCAGCAACGTGGCTGTCCTAGCCACCCGTGGGCCCCGTGGCGAGAAGTGGACGCGTCCATCCCGTCCGCCTTGATCAGCTGGAACGCCCGCGCTTTCATGTGCTCCAGGCCCCGCCGCCGTCGCCGCAAGCAAACGGCCCTCGCGAAGTACATGCGCAGCAAGCGCGTCATCCTGCTGCAGGAAGCCCACGGCTCCGAGGCGCTCTTCCGCACTTGGCTGGACACGCAACCGTGCCCGCGCGAGCTCTTCTTCTCCGAGTTCGCGCCCGACGCCGAGGACGGGTCATCCTCTGCGACTGGCGGCGTTGCTATTCTGGTGCCTTGGTTCACGCGCGTGCAGCTGGAGCGCCTCCGCCACGACCGGCGTCGAGTCTTCGATCATGTCCCGCTGAGCCCCGCTGGTCCTTGGGCGCATTCAACAGCTGGTCATCAGCAACGCGAACACGGGCCACTCCCTCGCCATCATGAAAGTCCACAGCCGTGAACTTCAAGCGCAGGACCGTGACAGGGTCCGCGGGGCATGGCGCGTGCTCCGTGAAAGGGCCGCACACGACTACACCGCGCGCGCTCTCTTGGCCATGGGTGATTTCAACACCGCCAGTCGTTCACCGAGTAGCTTTAACTTGCCCCGGGCGCAGCGCTCGCGCCTCCAGCTGGACAGCGATAACCACCAGCAGCAGCCCTTCTGGAAGGCCCTCTTCGACTCCATGCTAGAGGTCGAGTCCGAGCTCCCCGCGCGCTTCAACAAGGCGGACTACGCGGCCTCCTCCATCGACCGCGTGTTCATTAGCCCCCCCCCCCCCCACGCGACGCAGGAGCTCTCCGTGGCTGTCCGCGTGCTGCGCGACTCGACCATCATGTCTGACAGGCGCCTCAGCGATCATGTCATCATCTCCTTCTCGATCGGCATCAAACCACGCGCGCAGCCAGCTGAACAAGCCATCCCGCCAGCTGTGTTCCGCGAACCCAACTGCGCCACCTACATGCAGAACATCATTGACGCTGCGGACGCGCATCACCTCTCCGTCGAAACGCGCTGGCGTGCCCACAAGCAGTATATCGTGGAGGCCGCCCGCATGGTCCGCGACGGCTGGGTCCGCCTCTGCTCGGGCGACCTCGCCGGGCCTGGCTTCCTGGGCGGCAGGGTCGCCGCCGTGCGCTCGATCTCGCGGGCGATTTTGCGCCCGGACGCGCAACTGGCACGGCGGTTGCATGCCGCAACGGAGCTCGGAAGGCGCTTCCTCGACATCGACTCCCGGGCCCTCGAGCTCACCGACGACGCCCAGTTCGCGAGCCTTTCGTCCTCCCCGCGCCGCGACTTCGAGGCGCGCCAGCGCTCTCCGGCGCAGCGGGCAGCGAGGCTCCCGCGGAGCCACCCCGAGGCCTTGCCCCCAGAGAAACTCCAGAGGGTGCTGCGGGTCTCTCAGAAGCGCACCCTCATCTGGGTTCCCTGGAAGCGCCGCCTCGTCCTCCATGGGGTCAAGGCCACGGGCCTCGAAGGCCCTGCGACCGTAGCCAGAGGGAGCGGCAAAATGGTCGACGCCTCGCGCAACCGCTGGCGCCCCGTCTTCGCCCGCAAGACCGTCGACTCTGCTGCCGTCGGCGCGTGCGTCGACGCGCGCTTGCCGCAGGGCGACAAGCTGGACATTCAGCCGCCTTCCGTGCGCTGGTTGCGGGCCATCCTGGAGCAGACATCACCTTCTGCGCCTGGCCCCGACGGCGTCTCGTGCAACGCGTAGGCCACCCGCGACCGCTCGCTCTCCGTCCTGGAGGACTTGGCCCACCACCTCTGCTCAGGGCACTCGATCCCGCGCGACCTGTGCGACTCGGACTTCGCCTTTCTGCCGAAGGGCGACGACCTCCTGGGCGAGATCTCCGCGGATCGCCCGCCAGAAGACACTCGGCCGCTCTCGCTGGAGAGCGCGGACGTCAAGGCCGTCGCTGGCGCCGCGAGCCACCTCATCAAGCCGTTTGTGGCCGAGCGGACCCACGAGGCGCAGCGGATCTTCGTCATGGGCAGGAACTTCGCGCAGCACATTGCGCGCCCGGACGCGGAGATGCGTCGATTGGCGTCCTGGAGAACGCCGAGGATCTCCGCCCCATTTTCGCTGGCTTCGATTTTGCAGCGTCCTTCCAATCGCTGGGCATCACGTGGCTCTTCAAGGCGCTGCGCCGCTTCGGACTGCCGACTGGCTACGCGCGCCTGTTCGATGCCGTGTGCTACGCTCTTCTCCTCGGTGAAGGTCGGGCGTTCGTCGCCCCGCGTTCGCGATCGAGTCTGTCGTCGCTCAAGGCTGCCCGGCGAGCGGATCCGCACGGGCGATTGCGGTGGACCCGCTGATCTGCCGCGTTGCCGCTGCCAAAGGCTTGGGCAACGCGGGGGCTACCTCGTCGAACTACCTGGGCGCTTGCGTGGACGACCTGGCCATCCGGTGTGACTTCTTCGGGGGGGTCGGCGAAGTGGCCGGGGCCTTTGACGCTGCCGCGCGCCTCGCGCTCCTGTCGCTGAAGCTTCGCAAGTGCGTGGCTGTCCCACTTTGGGCGCCATCGTCTTCTGCCACCATTGCCCGTGCCCAGGACCTGCTTTCCGAGTTCTCGCCTGCCTGGCGTGCGTTTGCGGTCGAGGGGCGTGCCAAATGCCTCGGGATTGTCCTCGGTCAGTCGGACTCCTTGGTCGACCAATGGCACGCCCCTGTGCGCAAATGGTGGGTGGCAGCGCGCTCACTCGCTTCAGTATGTGCACTCTGGAAGCGACGCCACAGTTCGGCTCTATAACACGTCGGTGCTCTCTACTGTCAGCTCGGTGAGCCAGTTCTATCCAGTCCCCACCTCCATTGTACATCGCGAGCAGTGCATTATCCACAAGATGTTAGGCGTGCCGCCGATCACCTTCCGCAAGGTAGATCTTCTCGCGATGGCGGACTGGTCGCCGCCGCCCGTGCTCCGCTCGCTGCAAGTCATGTCTGTCGCAGCCGCCACCCGATCGGCGTCTCGCACTTTGGCAGATCTGTGGGGGCCCGACTATGCTAACCTCCGTGACACTGCCTGGGAGGAGAGCGCAGTTCATTCCTTCCATCGCTGGTTGGACGGACTGTGGTCTCCCAGCTTCTGGGAGCAACCGCGCGCCGTTGTGCAGTTCTATGCCCAGCTGCGAGATGCGCAGCGCACGCCGCCGTTCACGTCCGCCATGATGCAAGATGCTCACAGCGCAGCGCTGGCGGACAAGGAGACGGCCAATGGAGCCAGCCCGCCGCGCCGTCCCCACTTCCAGCGTGCTCGCGGCCTCTCTGCGCAAGGCTGCTTTCGCTTCGCCTTTCGCGGTCGCCCTCGCAAAGTGGGTCGCCGCATGTGGCCTACATATCGACCCTGCGCTTTTGGCCGAGCGCTGGGAGACGCTCGCCAGTGCACTGAGCAGTGTCCGTCCGCGCTGGCGTTGGGCGACTCTCAAGACATTTGCTTGCGGGTGGACGACCACTGCCCGCATGCATGTGCTTGCGCCTCGCTGCTTCGGCTGCCGCGATCAGCCAGATTCATTTCCCCACTACCTCTCCTGTCTTCGCCTCTTGAGCCTCCTCTGGCCCCCAGACCCTCCACTCTTCCTCAGCACTTTCACGCGATGGGGACTGGGACCCTCAGCGGCGTACCCGCCTGTGCCTAGCGAGTTGCCGCTCCAGGCCACGATTCGCCGCATGCCACAGCCAGCTCGCCGAGTGCACTGCTGGCCGCTGCCCGCGCTCTCGTCGTGCGCTAGCCAAATTCTCGCCTAGCGCACGGCGGCTGAGCCTCAGGAGACTCGTTCGCCTCAGGCTACCCGCGCTCCTCCGCTTCCTCCTCCTCCTCTTCCTCCTCCTTTTTCCCCTCCCGCCCGCTCCCCTCTTTTCAACTTTGCACGGCCTCCGATCCGATGGCGATCTCAGTGTCTGACAATCCTCCCCCTTTTCTTCCTCTTCCTCCTGCTCCAACTGATGCTGCCCCTCCTCCTGCTGCTCCTCCTCCTGCTGCTCCTCCTCTTCCTCGTCCTCCTCCTTCTCCTTCTCCCTCTCTCCATTCTCCGCCTCTTCCTCCCCCTCCCGGGGAGGGGGAGGAAGAGGCGGAGAGGGAGGAAGAGGCGGGAGGGGGAGGAGGAGGGGGAGGGGGAGGGGGAGGAGGAGGGGGGGGGCCCTCCCCCTCCTCCTCCCCCTGGGGAGGGGGATAGGCGTCTGCTTGAACGCATCGGCGAAAACCGGCGTGAGCACAGCCTTTCGGATGGCCACGCGGGCTTCTCGGGTCGGCGGGGGGGGCCCAGCGCGCGGAGCGCGCCGCGTGTGGCACCCGAGACACCCAGAAGCTCGTGTGCATGCGGCCCTCCTTCCTCCTCCCTCCTCCCCTCCCTCCCTCCTCCTCCCTCCCCCTCCCTCCTCCTCCCTCCTCCCTCCTCCCCCTCCTCCTCCCTTCCCCCTCCCTCCTCCTCCCTCCTCCTCCCTCTTCCTCCCTCCTCCTCCCTCCTCCCTCCTCCTCCCTCCTCCGCCCTCCTCCGCCCTCCTCCGCCCTCCTTCGCCCTCCTCCGCCCGCTCTCCAGAGAAAGCCGCGCCGTCGGCGCACTGCGGCGGAAGCCGGAAGGGCTACGGGTCTCCGTCGAGGCAAAAGAGCGCGCGCGGGCAGGGCCGTGGGGTTCTTCTCCCCTTGGGCCCATTCCTCTCTAAAACTTCGTGTGTCAGATGCGCCGATTTCTCGGTAGGCTTATGCAGGCACCCCACGAGGCGTCATGCTGCGGGTTCTTGTGCGCAGCGCTGTGAGAAGGAAGGCCTGTGGAAGCCAGCGGGAGTAACATGGCGGCGGGGCCGCTGGTGGAAACCAGCGGAAAACGGTGGAATAACACAATGAGGCGCTGGCGTGTTTGGGTCCGTGGGGGTTCATGAGTCGCGCGCATGGCTCTTTGGCCTTCTGCCATCGCGGACTTGGAGCACGCGCTGCTGGCCGCCATCACGTCCGCTCCCGCTGGCGCCGTCGACGGCATCGACCCGCAGAAGGCCCGGCCACTCGTAAGAGTGACCCCTTGTCGAACTGACCTCGGATGCGAGCCCATCCGGGCCCCCTGACCGCTGAGTGCGCTATAGGAGCAACGGCCGCTGCGTTTGGGCTTGGCTCCCCGCGCTTCCCCGACAGCCGCGCACCAGAGTCCACTCTTGCCTACAGGGGCACTCGCGTGTGCAGTGGGTTCGTGTCGTGACGACGCGCCAGCGACCCCGCCGCGGGCGTTCAAGGTTGAACGCCACCAGTGGCCCAGAATCGGCCAACATGGAATGATCTGGCGAACGAAGCCGCTGATCGTTCCAGGTTGAACGACCAACGCTGTGTCAGAATCCCACGCCGGGGCCCTCACGACACGAACCTGCCGCAGCCGAAGAGCCAGCGACGCGTAAGGGTGACCCTTCGCCAGAGTGACCATAGGTGCGGGCACCCTGGGGGCCCCCCCGATCGCTGAATGCGATGCGACAGCAGCGGCCTGCGCGCTTGGGTCTGGCCCCCTGGCGCCCCCCAAAAGCCGCGCACCAGAGGCCTCCTCGCGCCTCGGGCCACTCCCCGCGTGCAGCCGAGAACGAGGCCCACTCCGTGGACGGCATGGCCTTCGACCCGCACCACCGCGGCCTCTACCGGCTCCTCTGGGAGCTGGCTGGCCTCGGCTGAGCGCCCGCGCCCGCCGGCGGCGCCGACGGCACCTCACCCGCGGGAGGGCCCACCGCGTTCCGTGGGCGGCCCGGCATTCGGCGCGCGCCGCCGCGGCCTGTGCCGGCTCCCCTCGGGAGCTTGCCAGCCCTGGCTGAGATCGGCGCCCACCTCCTCTTCTTCCTCGCTCCTCCGCCTGAGCCCCCACCTCTTCCCTCTCGTGCGCCGCCCATGGCCGATCGTGGTGTCCGCTGTCTCCTCGCCCTCCTCCTCGGGGCTTCACGCGCGCAGCTCCTCCCTCGCCCCCTCCCTCCCTCTACAAGTGCACAGTGTGAGTACTGCCCTCTCTCTTTTGTTGTTGTTGCTGCTGTTCTTTTGGTGCTTCCAGATTGGCAAGCACGTGTGCTTTCAGTTTTGTTTACAACCTGATCGCTTTTGGTACTTCAATATCATGTTCCCGCTGCAGCGTGGTGACCGGCGCTTGATCACGTCGCTCAGACTGGCACTATCGCCCCAGCGCGGTCCTTTTTTCTATATCCGAGTCTTCCGTCATCGTTGTCGCCCCCCTCCTTTCCATTCCTCCGCCTTTCCCTGGGCTTCCTGCTCCTCCCGCTTCATCTGCTCCAGCTCCTGCTGCTGCTGTTTATCCTCGTCCTCCTCTTTCCTTATCCCCTTCCTTTTCCTCCTGCTTATCTTCCTGCTTATCCGTCATCTCCTCCACAGTACGCAGCTCCCCATTCCCGATTGCGCATGACACGATGGGGCCCTCTTTTCATTTTCAGGTCCGCTATGACACGCGTCGGCGGATAGAGAAACCATCATCGCAATGGGAGCGGTAGGATGTCAGATATGGCGCGAGCGCATCTAGCTTGTCCTCTCCCCTCTTCCTCTCCCCCTCCCTCTCCATGCCCTTCTCCCCTCTCCCTGCTCCTCTCCCTCTCCTTCGGCTTATGCTTGTTCCTCATCCTGCTCCGCCTTCCCCCCTCCGTATCCCTTGTGGCTCGAGCCATTCATTCCTTTCCGTTCAGTTTTCCTTCCTCTCCTCCTTTTTTTTGTTTTACATCCAAATTGCGTAAATCCTATCTCTTCCTCCTCCTCCTCCGCCATTGGATCATTTTTTCGGGAGCACAGCAAGTTTCGCCTGGCTCAACATCAGCGGACTAATCGCTCACCTCAGGTTGAGCGCCATGCCTCCCCGCAAGCGCTCGTCTGCAGCAAGCCATTTCGAGGAAGCACAGGGCAGCGTACGGCCCGCGGTGAACGCTCCAGGTCCAGTGCGCACCGATGGGGTGAGCCTGAATGCCATGCAACGTCCACACTTCAGCGGCGGCGCCAGCCTGCTGACCACGCACGCCAATCGGCTCACTTCCATGATACCTTCAATGTTGCAGCCTTTTTGCAAGCAAACTGCTTTCATGGTGGTCACCCCCAACATTCAGCACAATACGACTTCGCAGGGCCACTGGACGTCACGTAAAAGACGTCTGGGCTGACCGCGACTGGCCCTGCATATCACTCCAAAGCCCATTTGCAGAGTGCAATTCTATCGAGTTCGCCATAGGCTTTGGCCCGAGTCTCTGCCACATGGCGACTGTGCTTCTGCTATTGCATGCTACGTCCAGTATCACATCAGTTGGCGAATCTCAGGGATCAGGGAATCTAGTTGCGCCAGTCCGCTGCTCTTTGCGCTCGCCCTGCAGCGCTGCGCAGAACAGGCGCGCGTCGAACCAGCCGACCCAGCCGACGGCTCCCTGGACCTGGCTTTCTTCTACCTGGACGACGGCTGCCTGGCAGGGGACGCGCCCGCAGTCGCCCGCCTCTTACACCGCCTGGTGGGGCGCTTGGCCGCGGTGGGCCTGGACCTCAGCACTGGCCCCGGCAAGTGCGAGGTGGTGCCCGCCAGCGGTGCCGACAGCAACGTGGACTTGGCCGCGTTTCCGTTGGGCTTCCGCCTCCGGGATGACAACAGCTTCGAACTCTTGGGCGCCCCTGTGGGAGACGACCGTTTCTGAGAGAAACACCCAGGACAGGGTGGGCAAGGCTGCTGGCTTGCTGGAAGCTCTCGGGGCACTGGAGAACGCTCAAGTTGCCATGCAGTTGCTCCGTCAGCAGTGTGCCTCCTTCTGCAAGCTGGGCTACTCCGTGCGCGTGATCCCGCCGACGGCGCACACCGGCGCTTTGCAGGCCATGCATTCTGCCGCCCGCGCCTGCCTGGAGCAACTCAGCGGGTCCTCCCCCTTTGGAGATTCTTGGAAGCAAGCGCGGCTCAAACTCAACCGAGGTGGGCTCGGGCTCCGCTCCTCCGAGAAGCACGCCGCGGCCGCTTACTTGGCCTCGCGCGCCCGCGGCGCCGAACTCTGCCGACAGCTCTACGCAGTTTACGACGGCGCCGACGGCGGGGACGGGGGCAGCCTGGCGGCGGCGATGCAGGCATTCAACGACGCAGTCCTGCCAGCGGACCAGATCGAGCTTGACCCTTCCCAGCATGGGGACCAGCGGCTCCTCCCCGAGAAGGTAGACGACGCCGTCCACGACGAGCTCTGGCAGCGCGCCTCGCCAGCCACGAGAGCCCACCTCAACTTGGTGGCGGCCTCGGGCGCCGGCGCCTTCCTGCAGGCCCCCCCGAGCCGGGCTCTTGGCACCGACTTCCCGCACAGCTTGATGCAGGTAGCGCTGCCTGGCGAGGCGGCACGCCGGCGGCGTGGGACTTCGCCGTGACCTCGGGCCTCCGCGCGGACCTGCTCGCATTTTCGGCCGCGGAGGGCGGCGGCGACGCGGCGGCGACCCGCTACGAGGACCAGAAGCGCCTGCACCTGGACACGGCGCGCAGATGCTCAGAGGCCGGCCTGACGTTCATACCGAGGGGATGCGAGGCCCACGGCGGCGGCTGCGGCCGCGAGGCGCGACGCGCCTTCGCGGTGCTCGCCAAGCGCGCGGCCGACGCTACTGGAGACGACGCCGCGCTCGCGGCCGACCAGCTTGCCCAGCGACTTTCAGTTTCCTTGCGCAGGGAAAATGCGCGGGCAGTGCTGCGACGCCTCCAGCCGCGAGCGGGCGCGACGGCCGCGCGCCTGGCCGCGGCCGCGGCAGCCGCCGCGGCGGATGCCGTGTGAGCTGCCTACAGACCCCCAGACCCTCTGACCACGATGACCCCGACGACCCCCGACCCGCCGACCCACGACCTCCAGATCCACGCCCCCTTGACCCCTGACCCAGACCCCCAGACCCACGCCCCCCCCGACGATCCCCGATCCACGACGACCCTCGACGATCCCCCGGGTGCCGCCGACGCCTCTCGCGCCCCCCCGCCCCCCGCCCGCCCCCGCGTGTGCGCTTGCTTGCTGCTGCCTTTGCCTCCCCCCTCTCCTCCTGCACGTTGGGGTCTGCTCGCTGTTTTTTCCTTTTCCCCCTTGGTTCCTCCTCCTCCTCCTCCTCCCCCCCCTCCTCCTTCGGGAGCCGGGCGCCGGGCGCCAGGGGACCTGCAACCCAAAGGGCAGTCGGCTGCGCCGCAAAGCCCGGCCGAGAAAGTCCTTTCCGTGGCCAGCCTTTTCCGCGGAGGCACGTTCGCTCCTCCCTCCCCTCCTCCTCCTCCTCCTCCTCCTCCTCCTCCTCCTTGCCCCAATCGGTGGCCGGAGTTTCGGCCACGCTTTCCGGATAGCTTCTGACAGCTGATTTCGGCGCGCATTTGGCGTGTCGTGGCCTCCCCGTTTGGAGTTGGCTGTGGCAAGTGCGCAGGCTCCTGGCCGAGTCCTTCGGATGCAGGCCAAATTCGCGAGATCGGGGGTTCCTGTACCTCTCGTATTTGGCGTCGCCATGTGACACTTCGGCCATTCTGCATGCATCAGCTGCCGAGCCTAACATCGCACCACCTGCTGGCTTCATCGCGTCCCCTGGATCGCTAGGCGTGTGCAGGTAGCGCAGCCGATGATTCAAGAGGCGCAGCGGTAGCCAGACCTTCTCTTGGAACGCTGCCGCTCTCCATCTGCCGCCCTCCTCCTTCATTCCACGGCCGCCCAGAGCGGCCTGGCCCACCAGCCGCCCCCGCGGGCTCCTTTGGCCTTCGCCCCCCCCCCCCCCGTCCCCCCCCTTCCCTCCCCACCCCCCAGCCCAGCTGGTGCTGCACCGCTGCCCCTTCCCCAACGCCTGCCTGCCCGTGCCCGTTCGCGGCCACCGCTCTCCAACTGCCGCCCTCCCCCCTTCCTTCCGCGGCCGCCCAGAGCGGCCTGGCCCACCAGCCGCCTGCGCGGGCTTCCCTGGCCTTCGTCCCCCTAGCCCAGCCGGCCTCTGCACCGCTGCCTGCCTGCTGGTGCACATGCCTGCCTGCTAGTGCGCATGCCCGCCCACCACGTGGCTCGAGGTCCCCGCTGGCTGGCGCGAGCCGTGGTGCAGTTTGTCGTCGTCGTCGTCGTCGTCGTTGTCGTCGTCGTCGTCG